TGAATGTGGAGAGTGCGGTTGGCGCTAACTACGTCTGCTATCACTTAAAAACTACCCCTTGTAGGCAGTCAGCATCACTGTAAAAACCTGTTGGTTCATCGAGATCGGTGGTCGCACAATCATCATCATTACCACTAAATGACCCACACAGGTCGTCAGTTCTGGTAGCATCCCTGATGGCAGTTTCCGCGACTTTTAAGAGAGCAAAGCCAGCGATTCCTGCAGGTTAGTTCACTTTCCGATAGGCCGATAAACGCAGCAAAATGTCCTACTGTTATATTTAAGTAGAAACTTTATTTTAATTATCACTACTCGTTCATTGGTCGCGTCCGAGTGGGGGATGTGCACATTCTGTCGTGCAGGCGCGTGAAACCCATAAATATTTGCACAACGATTATCAATGATACAGCAAATTGCCCACACAAAAATGTCTACCACTGAATGACTCACCCAGGTCGTCAGTTCTGCCAGCATCCCTGATGGCAGTGTCCGCGACGTTGGAGAGCAAAGCCAGCGACTCCTGCAGGCCAGCCAACTTGTTCGCCCCATCTCGGCTCAGCGCGCTCTCTTCCTGTACCCTCTTCGCCAGCTGGTCCACCCTGACCTGCATCGCTCGTCGACGCTCCTCTACAGCACTGAGTTGGCTATCCACAGTGGCACCACCCTGAGCGGCCTGACTGTCCGCGAGGGCATTTTGAGCCTCATCGGTGAGGTTGCGTGCTCGCTGGAGCTGTTCAGCGATCTGGCGGTAGGCTTCCCGCGCCTCCAGTACACTCTCGACGCCGGGTGAGTCAACAGCACTCTTAATCTCCTCTCCAGTACGCTCCAACTGCATAGCTTTCTGAATGGCGTCGGGTGGCGGGGAGTTGGGGATGCGATCAAATGAGGGCAGTTCTTCCAGTTCAGTGGCGAGAGTGTTGGCTTCCGGTACGCGCTCAGTCTCGTAGTCCTCGCGTGTGCCTCGCAGTTGGTCCAGTTCAGTGGTGAAGCCGGCCTGCTTCTCGCGTACTTGATTGAGTGAACTTCCTACGGCATCACTCATCAGGTCTTGGATGTTATTCAGGTTTTCCTAATGTCAGAAAGAATTGAAATATAAAAATAAAAAGGGGCAGATTTTAGGCTATGCATATTGGTTGATTATGCATTCTAAACCGATTATAAAAGAACATGCTAAGTAAGGAGGTAGTCAAATGCATCAGATGAAGTCGTTTAAACGTCACATCTGTGGGGGACTGGTCTTCAGTCCACATCTAATAAAAAGGTAAATAAACCTTTCTACTGGTTTTCGTTCAGTAGCCCACGTCTGATAGTTTATGATGAGAAAAGTGCGCTGAACTGTCGAATTCACTCTCTCCCGCATATAGTAGCATCAGGCCGCCGTCCGAACCAGTCAGTTGTATGATGCGGGGTGGACCCATTGGCTGACAGGGACGGCAAACCCGTCTGCGCCCAACACGACACGCCTCGGTCTCCCTGACGCTCGCACACAACTCCGAATGACTAGAGCTGGTATGGAGTGTCTTTACAACCAAATATGCGAGACCTACGAAATAATTGATAAGAAAGGAGTTTCGGGACAAGAATGCCATTCGTCTGACTTTTCGAAATCCGCCGCGGATCCATTATCAGAGACAACAGCAGAAACGGAATATTCGTACAAAGGGGGTTGTAGTTTTTAAAAGGATACAGTCAATATGCTGCTGTATAGCTATGATAATTTCCGGCTTCCCTATCGAGGATATTTGCCTGCTCGTGCGCAAATTTCTTGATGGCGGGCCTTGACCTGACGCCACACGCGGTGATAACTGCTCGGCCATCTGGCTCCCTGGCGCTAGCGTTAGAAGGCGCGGTGGCCAGTGCGTTCTCCGAGGGGCTAAATCCGGTCGCCAGGTGACTCCATAATCACTTCTGGGGCTGAGTTTGGCCAAAGCAATGCGTCACTCGGTGAACGTACAGGCCAACGCGCCGTCTACCGCCAGCGTCAGGGAACCAGATGGCCGAACAGTCATCATACTCAAGTCCGCCGTGTGTTACGAAAGTTCAGCAGGTCATGACGTGCACGTTGGCCATCAACTAATTGGCACACAAGAGGGCAGATATTTCCGAAAAGGGAGTTATTAGGTGTCATAGTTAGCAAAGCGATAACTGTACCTGCTGTTGCCCTTGAGGATGCATCCGCGGCAGAGTTCGAAACGTCAGGCGAAAAAAATGCTCGTCATACTTGCTTCTTTCCAATTACTTTCTGGGAATCGCATGTTCGCCTGTATTGGCAATTTTTCGGTTTAAAGCAAGCGCACCCAGCACGATTTATTTGTGCAAATACATTTCGAGACAGCTTTTAAACTGCTTCTTGTCTTTGCATGACAAACGGAAAATAGAGTATTTTGCATTTTTACAGAATCCATAACACCAAGGTCATTTTCAAATGCGGCGAAAAGTCAATAATAATTTCGCCTTTAAACTTGGGAAGGAAAAGTAGGGACGGAAATTTAAAGGTACGGGATTATCAAGGCCGTAGGAGATTAGTCACATGATATAACTCCTTACATAGGTCGGCCTTCGCTCGCCATACGTACGCTGATTCTGCGTAGCGAAGGTCTGCTTTGCTTGTGCTCGAACAAAAACTCGGAAAGATGCTTTGAGCTCAACAGAGTGATCACTGTCTATTAAGTGTTTAGCCACTGTCCGCCATTACAAAACGTGGCTGCTAGACATGTTTTACTTTGTGGCTTACCTCCAACTGCCCTGGTAATACCATGCCTAAATTGAATCAACCTTTCTTTTTTGCAGGATACAGTCTCTCACTGCTTCTGAATACTTACGACAATTAACGGCTCCCCTATCGCTGATGATTGCCCGCTTAGGCGTAAATTGCCTGATGGTCGGCGTGAGTGTCGCACAGAATTGATGCCAATTCTCAAGTTGCGGATCTTTGGACGAGATCCAGACACACATTCAAATTTGATGAGGTCACCGTTCTCGTGAGATGTTATTTGTGATGTTCTTTGAGCCATGGTTGACAGGTTACTTGTCTCTAAACAGGTGCGTCGACCCGCCCAATCCATATACAGTGAGGAGGCTCCGTTGGGCCAAGACAATTCGCCATTCGGGGAACGCGTCGTCTTATGCCAGCAGGTGCACGCCAGCCATCAGGCAATTATTGACCATGCGGGCAACTATCCTCCCTGTGTGTGATTTATCCGTTTCTACTATCGGCTCTGATA